TTAAGAGGGCAAAACTTCTGACTGAGAAAACTAGTGAACTAACAAGAGAAGTGCATGAAATGTTAATCGCAAATGGGTATGTATTATCGTTGGAAAGATTTTGCCGCGAGTAGACTTCAGCTGTGTAATATCTCCAACCAGTTTTTTAAAAGGCGCAAATAGCTATATAACTTCTATTGTGCACAGCGCCTCTAGAGACGCCGTTCAAGTGAGATATTGCACAACTAAACTCTATATAAATATATAAATACATACCCATTTATGATTAATATTTCGTGCACTTCTCTTGTAAATGCTCTTGATGAAGAAATAGCGGCATTGATATCATCAACATTTCGTTGAGAGTCTTGTGGCAATTTTTATGTAAACCTGCAGTTTTTTTTTGCAATTTGAATTTTTTTTAAGGATTTTAAATTTTAATTCTTAGGTTAAGTCAGCTAATGTGAACTTCAATAGAGATTTAAAATGCTTTACTAAGAGCACTGGAATTTTAAACTTGTCTGTGTTTTTAAACTTATCTGTAAGTTTCTTGTATCACTTGTGAATAAGTGAGTTTAAAATTAAAGTTGACTTCCCATTTTTGTGACTTTTCTCTCAAATCTCTATATTTCACGGTTTCTAAATCAGGACGAAAATACTATAAGAAATATATAACTATTGTTGAAAATCGGGGAAAATCACAAAATTTCGTCTGAATTTGTGGCAACCCTGTTTAAGTGATTAGGCCACTTTGGAGACCTGAAAATCATATGTAACTTTCTTAATTTTTTTCGCGAAATAATGAAATAAATGAAAAATCTGTTCAAAGACCTTTATTCTACACGTCTTAAAGTATATAAAAAAAGTTTTTATCTATTTTTTTAAACAAAATGGCGGCGCTGGAGTCCTTCCACGCTTGCTGTTTTTCAGATGACCTTCGTGGCTTGCAGTAGAAATGCCGTATACTTTGACCTAGGATAAAAAACCAAAAATTTTTGTTATCTATATATACATTTATTACAGAAGTACATATAGATCAAAATATTGTTTTTTGTGAAACTGGTGAATATTTGGAAAAAAGGTATCGTTTTTAGTCAAAAAATTTCGTTTAAAATTGTCTGTAGCAAAAAAAGTTTTCAATAAATCACAAAATTTATATGTACTTCTGTAGATAATTTAATATAGAAGATGCTGTGAAAATTTCAAGTGAATTGAATAAAAATTGTTTAAGTTATGCTGCAAGCCAATTTGAAAAGTGATTTCGAGAAAAACGTGTTTAAAGTTTTGCCTTACGATATTTTGTATATGAAAGCAGAAATTTCAAATTTACTTTTACTCTGCGATGCCTGCGCCGATACAGCTATCCTTTTAAGTTAACATTAGCCTCATTTTCCTTTTTCCTTGTCGATCTGAAGGATTTCTGAGCCTCTTTAGCGGCGTGCGTTATCGAACGCTCTGCAGCTTTTACGCGGCGCGCGTTTGCCTCGACGCAAAAATTATAACAATTTTGGCCTATAGCCAGGCTCAAAACTTGCATGACTTCCATGAGGCTTGTGAGGCCATGATTGAAAGTGCATACAGCAATATTTACTGCTATATCAACATTTTACCGCTCGACGATGTTTTTGGCGCTATTGACGCAGACGACGGAATTAAAACTTTCATTACTATTTTGCGTGAAGCCTCCCAAGCAACGATTTAATGAGTCATCGTTGCTTAAAATCTTCCTACACTGACTTCATGAAAACTTATGAGCTCAATCGCTTCGAGCCGCTTCGGGCCGTTCCGAGTCGCTCGACGACGCTGCGACGTGCTTCACCAAATCGACTGTAAACTCATTTTAAAAATTTTATTTTGTATTGAAATAAATTATATCTTGTTTTTAAGATTATAAAGTATCATTTAAGACGAAAAAAATTCGATTTTTTGAAGCCTCCAAGTTGGCTTAACCCCTTAAACAACAATAAACCGCATACCTCAATAAAATCAGTAAACATTCATGATCATTGGAATTGATGGTGGTATGTAAAATTCAATTGACTTGATATTTTATAAGTATGTTTGACTACCATGATTCTATTTCTTTTACTTGGTTTTTAGTACATCCTACATGTTTACTATGACGCTTTCGATACCAAATACAGTCGATTGCAAAGAGGTATGTTTTTTTCTAATAACTTCTTTAAATTGTTGTTTTAATTATTTATTACAAGGTTAATGTTTTTTTGGTTGACATTTATATTTTAGACATGTTGTATCAGTTGAGATATCCTGAGGTATTTAATTTATTTCAAAGATCATGAATGTTTATTGATTTTATTGAGGTATGTGGTTTATTGTTGTTTAAAGGATTTTGATAATTTTTAAACATTGACTTATAATTTTAAACTCTGACTCATAATTTTAATTGTAATATGAAAATTCGTCGCATAGTTTTTCCAAAAAAATTCCCGAAAATATTTTAATTTACGACTTCAAAATGAGAAAATCTCTTTAATTATAGTTAAATAATACCTGTTTTAACATTTATAACAATTATTTAAATTATTTTCCAGGCACCAGAAGTTGCGGAGGACGTTATCGCTGCTATGAGAAAAGCCAGTTGCGCCACAGAAGGTCAAGAAGTTATTTTGCCTGTACATGTTTGGAGAGCATCAGGATCACATGAATTATTCGCTAGTTTAGGCTTCGACTTGATGGAGGTCGGGCAATCGGAAGTGACACTGAGAACAGGCAAACAAGCCTCACGTCGAGCTGTCCAGTTTGCTCTTCAAGCTCTTCTTGCATTGTTTGGTAAACTAAAATTCACATATGTTGCAAATAGATATATATATTATATTATAATAATAAAAATATATAATATTAAATATATAATATATAATATTATAATAATAGAAAATTATAATTCAAATATTAACATTAATTATCTAAATTACTGTGTATCAGGGCTTAAGAGTCAAAGCTGATTTTTTGTGCTAAAATTTTAGCTTTGATATACTATAATTTAAATTGTTAAATCAATTGAGTCTCAATTTTCTAATTAATTTATTATATTGTGGAATATCGATTATAGACACACAGGAAGCACCAAAAAGTCTTAGCTTAGACTCCAGCAGTTCAATGGAAAGTTTAGCTTCCGTAGCTCAAACGGAGAAAAATCTTGTAGAGCGCCCTCGATTAGGAGGAGCGTTCGCAAGTTACGTACGGCATCGTGGCGAACCAGATGGGAAAACCATGGAACCACCGAATGTTCTAATACCAGCGTCGCGACAGCCATGTCAAAATGGAGGTATTAATTTATTTTTAATTAATTAAATATCTTAACACACATTGCAATTTCGTTATTTCAAGATGTTTTTCTCTGTAATATACATTATACAGGGTGAATAATATAAAGCGTAAAATAATAAATAGAAAAATGTGCTAAAGAGCCAAAAACGCAAGATCACTGTTCAACTATATAATTCAAAAATTAAAAACATATAATCTATATTGGACGTTTTGCCATGAATTTTCGTCATCTTACAGTTTACCGTAATGACTTGTTTTACTTTATTGACTGATGGTTTACGACAACGCGTTTCCATCATTTCCACAATATAGTTCTTAGACCGGAGATATTTTATTAATTTTATATTTGCAATTTTAACTTTTTTTGTAAACGATTTCTATTTTTGTAAACAAAGTCATTTGCGTGCGTTTCATTTGTTTTACTGCAGATGATCAAAATTCATGGTCATAATGTCTAATGTATATTATATGTTTTAATTATTGAACTATACAAATGGGAAACGGTAATCTTGTATTTTTGATTTTTTAATCTATTTCTTTATTTATTATTTTACAAATAGAAGTCTATTTAAGTTTATTATATTAAAATAAAGCGTTATCAATTTTTATTTCAAAAAATAATATTTCTATAGAAAATGATATTAAATAAAAGTTGTAAAATCTTAAGGGGGGCGTAAAGTGATATTCTAGAAATGTCTGTACTTAAAGGATAGTTTTCAAGATTATTTCAAGATCAATTTAATTTTTTAAAATAAAAACGGGTTTTTAATATTTTTTTAAACCTCTCTTGGAAATTATTTCTAAAGCAAATGGTTTTGAAGAAATCCATGTTTTGTAATCGAACTGAACAATGCTCGGAAATGCTAATCACGCAACATTCTTGTCGTATATTCTTGGAAAAATTTTGCAACTAAGCAAAACGAGGAAAGATAGTTTACGGTCCATTGAAAAATCAACAAAAATTAAATATTAAATATTAAATATATCTTATATAGAAATTTTCTCCATTATCTGTTGGTATTTCAGATGAATCGGACGTGGCGTTCACACCCAGTCCTCCTGTGGCGCTCAATTTGAATCATCAAACGCGCATTCGGAATCTTTATGCTGATCAAAATTTAGTAAGACCCGGTTCAAGCTCGAGCAGTTCGGTAACAGATTGGGATAATGGCCATGCCACTGTGTTGAGGCGACAACCACTACCGCCGCTGCCAGCCACTGTGTTGGAGAGGCTGAGTGTAAGAACGGAGATCGGCATCAATTCGTCAAGAATTTCACGACATTCCACAACGACGAGTGAAGATATTTGTCCGCAGACCGACGCCACGCAATCTACGGAGACGCATCCGCAGAATTTGAGGAACCTGGCCACTTCTCTGACGAGTCTGACGCGCGAACTCACGCCCACAATCTCCGAAGTGTATCATGAACGAAATTTGGGATTAGGTCTGGCACCGTCCTTGTCGAAATTGTTGAAAGAGGTTGGTACCGTGACTGAGAACGAGGAATTGCAATCGACGAAAGTAGTAGGTCACAATCAGACGCAAAATTGGATGCAGAACGAACCGGAACTTTGCCGGAGGGACGAGGCCGATGGTAGATCTATCGCAGAGTCGCAGTGCAGCGCCGCCAGTTCGAATAAGATACCTCGGAAAGCTCCTGCACCACCGATATAGATTATTTATATTTATAAGTTAAAATATAAGAGTTCGCGGAGTATAGTACTGGGTACCAAAGAATGAGAGACACATTGAAAAATTGATTATCGCCGTTTGGCAATGCGAACAGAGTTGGCGGAAAACGATTGACAAAGAGCGTAGTGCGAGCACATATTAATACGAATTTGCCAATAATATCTTATGATATTCAAATAAAACACTCATAAGAAAATTATATATACATATATACTAGTATTATAAATATTTCAATATTTACACAAATACATTTTTTAGAGACATTTAAGCATATATTTTGTTTTTCATACGTGTTGACAGTGTAGCTAGATTTGGCCCGATTTTCTGCGCATACGTGATGCGGTGACGGCGGCAACAAAAAATACAGTAATGTACATGGCGTATTATAATGGCACCAAGTTTTGGCGGGTAAACACCAATATGAACCCCGTTTACCACCTGGCATTAATAGTGACAGTAATATCATATACAAATATATACTTTTTTACTGATTTTTCAGAAAATATTAAATAATTTTTTAAAATGATAGAACGGGTACCACACGACATTCCTTTTTATTAGACTAAAGCACTTACTGTGTTTGTCGCGCATACGCGGAAAACCGAGCCAAATCTGGCTACACTGGGGTGCGTTCAGAATGTACACTATGGATGAAAGTCTTTGTCCATTATCTATATTATACATAACGTATACCATAGACAATAGACAAAGATTGTAACCCAGAGTGTTTCTGGGTGTTGCGTGTTGAAGCTCGTGAAACGAGCTGTATTACATATAGTATAAGATAATCTCGTTAATAAACGCTAATGTGCTCAAGTATAATTTTAATTAAAATCCGTCCAAACCGTTTAATTCTTAAGATTTTAATTATTAATTAGCAAGAGTCCGTAGATGATCATATTTGGATGTTAGCTAAGGATCTACTTTATTTTATGTTGATTCTCGCACATGACTGACACTCGCTCTTGTCTACAATAAAAAATCATGGCTGTATCGGCATTCGAGTTTCAATTGTTTAACTATGTTGTTTCTTACACGTTATGCATTTTATATGTTCCCACAGAATATAAAAGTCTCGTGTCGATATCCAGTGCTATGTTTGTATTTTGGAATGGAAATATGTATTATATTAATGTTAAAAGAAACTTTATAAGATACAATTCTTTGGTCAAAGCTTGTAAAAAAAATTTATTTTATACACAGTATGTTTGAAAGATAAGGGGATTAATTTTTTTATAAATTTTTTTGTGTAAGCGCTATTTACTGATAATTAATAGTGTTTTGCTTTTTTACTTTAACAAGCATCTGTATTTTATGAGTGTCGAACATATATTACAGCATTCAAAGCAACAATCTTTCAGTGCACCTTGTCATGAAAAGCTATGAGTCAATATCTTGTTTTGTTTCCAACTCGATAAAACCGCGATACAAATGTTGAACCAAGATTATAAAGACTATTTTCTATCTCGTACATAAATTTTTGACTGATTTGACTGATTGACGATGAAAGGGACTCATTATAATAACATTTGAATCATCTAAGCAACCGTGACAAAGATCTTCGAAACAATTCTGAAAGCAAACTTCCAGAAGTCTATCCATGTATTGGTTGACTATTCCTAATGATGTACTGATATTGAAAGGATATATTTTGAATAAAATGAACGATTTTTAGACATACAATCAGTATTTGAATTGATATAGTATCAATACCATTATTTTCCAGTCGTACTGTGTATATTTATATTTATATAA